GCTGAAGTGGGTGTATCACCCGAGGTCAGAAGTTTGAGACCAGCCTGGCCAACATGGTGAAACCTGGTCTCTATTAAAAACACAAAAAAATTAGCTGGTCTTGGTGGTGGGTGCCTGTAATCCCAGCAACTTGGGAGGCTGAGGCAGGAGAATCACTTGAACCCAGGAGGCAGAGGTTGCAGTGAGCCAAGATCATACCACTGCACTCCAGCCTGGGTGACAGAGTGAGACTCCATCTCAAATTAATAATAATAAACAACGGCTAACATCAGTTGAGCACGTACTGTGCACTGAGCATATTTCATGCATTAACACATTGAATCTTCACACCACTTTACAGAGGAATGTAGACTAAGATAAAATCCTAAGCCCTGCTCCACCAAGGGAGCACCTTGTAGCAAAGGGAACATGAGAAGAACCCTAAAACTGAGTTCCTGGCCATGAGGGAACAGGAGGTCAGCTGTATCCGTTTATGCCCTCCTTTTAGGGTTTACACACAACACTGAAGAGCACTAAAGGTAAAATGGAGACCGTAGGACCCACAGAACAGGCGCTGTGGCAATAAGGTATCAAATTACAAACATCACCTCAGGCAACGCCAGGCAAAGGTTGAGCTGCCTATCCTACACTTAGAAAACAGATGGCACTCACTGCCACGTCGTCTTTTTTTCTTTTTTCAAAATGGATTCTGACTCTGTTGCCCAGGCTGGAGTGCAGTGGTGTGATCTTGGCTCATGGCAACCTCTGCCTCACTGGAAGCCCCACCACCTGGGTTCAAGCGATTCTCCTGCCTCGGCCTCCCCTGTAGCTGGGTATTACAGGTGCCCGCCACTATGCCCAGCTAATTTTTTGTATTTTTGTAGAGACGGGGTTTCACCGTGTTGGCCAGGCTGGTCTCGAACTCCTGACCTCGTGATTTGCCCACCTTGGCCTCTCAAAGGGCTAGGGTTGCAGGCGTGACCCACTGCACCTAGCCCTGCAGGGTCTTCTTTTTCTCCAGTGGCTAAACACGCACTGGCCCCAAGATGAGCAAGATGTAAATGACTGCAGCTCATCCACCTGCAGACGCCGGCTGAGCCGGCTGACCCCGTTCTACCGCCGTGACCACAGCTCTGATTGGGCAGGACACTGACTTCAGGAACCTCCTCCTGATAAGGGACCCCCACCATGGACCAGCTCTGGCCGGTTTACAGAGGCTGCGCACTTGAGTGCCTTCATGTCCTGAGAAGACCTCTGACGTTTAGGGCCTCACTGCGACACAGTCACGTGTGAAGGCTCCACCCCATTGGTGACAACACAAATTAAAAAAAAATAAAAGACTCCACCTCAGAGTGAAAATAGGTTGTATGTAACATGCATGTTTGTTTAATATGCATATAGCCAGATCCTTTTCATGAATATTTACCACTCCTCCTGTAGCTTGCTGCATATGTATGCTTAGCCAACACTTTCAGCACAGGGCTCCTTCCCCAACCCCTCCTCCCTTGAAGTACCTGTCTCTCTGGGAGGGCCACTGATACAGATAAGAGGCAGGGAAGTACTGGATGTAAGAGGGCGGTTCCCCAGCAAGGGCCCCACCCACAAGCCTGGGCCCATGCCCCTGTGTGAGAACTTCACATCCCTGTATTCCCGCCTGCATGGTGCTTTCTCCAAAACCACTCTGGCCTGCCATATCCCAATCTTGTACTCATAAAAACCCAAAACTTCACTGACAGAGGAGTGCAGTGGCACAGGAGAGGAGGAGAGAAAGAAGAAACATCGGAACCTGGAGAGGAGTTTGACCAGGGAGGATTATCTTCCCACTCCATCCGCTTTCCAGCTCCCCTTCCCACTGAGAGCCACCTCCATCACTCAGTAAAACCTGTTCACCATCCTTCAAGTCCATATCACCTGATTCTTTCTGGATGCTGGACAAGGAACCGGGTACCAAGAGGGCAGGGTCTAGCTGGGCACAGTGGCTCACGCCTGTAATCCCAGCACTTTGGGAGGCTGAGAAGGGTGGATCACGTGAGGTCGAGAGTTTGAGTCCAGCCTGGCCAACATGGAGAAACCCCATCTCTACTAAAAATACAAAATTACCCTGGCCTGGTGGCACATGCCTGTAATCCCAGCTACTCGGGAGGCTGAGGTAGGAGAATTGCTTGAATCGGGAGGCGGAGGTTGTGGTGAGCCGAGATCATGCCATTGTACTCCAGTCTGGGCAACAAGAGTGAAACTCCATCTCAAAACAATAACAACAACAAAAACAAGGCAGTGTGTAAAAGGCTGTCACTCTGACCCTCCACTGAGCTGGTTAACACTTAATGATCCACGGGTGACAGTTACTAAAAGAGAATTAATTGTAACACATCCCAAGATGCCACCATGGGGCCAAAAGCGCTTTCATGGTCCTCGCTCTCGCTCGCCTGCGTGCTCCCCCTCCCACGAGGGGTTTGAGCTTGGTGCCGGGTGAGGAAGCCACACCTTTATTGCAAGTCCTCTACAAGGGTCCATGGAACTCTTCCCCTCTCACCCCCTTAAAGGCTGCAACCTTTTCACCCTTTATAAGAAAGAAAGTATCCTCTTTTCCCAGACTTACAGATTGTGAAGTTAACAAACTAAGGAGAAATCAGATTACAGAGTTGGTGACAAGTGGTGCTGGGTGAGAGCCCCAGAAGCCCACAGAGGCAGCAGCAGCCTCTGCCCTTACTACCCTTTGCCCGTCCTGCTCTGAGTCTCCTGCTGTGGGCTCTTTGGAGCACCTGCTGAACCCCCGTCTCTCTCTCTGCAGTGGATTTTGTCCTTCCCCACTTTGATCCATCACCCATGGCCTCCCTCCCCAGCACCCCCAGCCCTATCATACCTCTGGTCCCAAGCACTAAGAGGAAGGAGCAGGGGAGGCGTAGAAGAGAGATGACCAGCCTCCAGGCCTGTGGGCTCCAGGACCCTCCTTCTTGACAGAGGGCCCTGGTACTCTGAGGTCAAAACTTTAAAAACGACATTATGGTGAGTATATTTTGCCTGTGGTTTCTTGGGCCTCATACCTGTAATCCTAGCACTTTGGGAGGCTGAGGCAGGCAGATCATGAGGTCAGGAGATCGAGACCATCCCGGCTACCATGGTGAAACCCCATCTCTACTAAAAATACAAAAAATTAACTTGGTATGGTGGCACACGCCCGTAGTCCCAGCTACTCAGGAGACTGGGGTAGGAGAATCACTTGAACCCAGGAGGCAGAGGCTGCAGTAAGCCGAGATTGCACCACTGCACTCCAGCGTGGGCGACAGAGCGAGACTCCATCTTAAAAATTAAAATATCTGGTTGCCTGTTCCCAGCTGTCATGCAGACAGCCAATCCTTGTGGTTCTCACACCGGTCATTTTAGAGTCGCCCAGGGAACTGGATACACATGCCTAGGCCCAGCCCTGTCCTACCTGACTGAGCCACACCCCGAGCTCCTTTTTAGCTCTTTGGGTGCTTTTGAGACCACCCAAGGGTGAAAGCCACAGTGTGGGCACAGGAGCTAATTTGGTGTTTTTATGAGCACGTCAGTTGCCACTAATTATCAGCCCAAGAGCAAACCTTTTTCCTTGATGACTCAGATAGTAAAGACCTTCTAGACATTATAAGTCTACGCTCTGGCTAGCCAGGAGATGAGTGGGCT